AGCTGTCAGGTAGGTGATGAGTGAAGAACAGAACAGAATCCATTTCCTCTTCAAACTGCTGTCAGACATTATCTACTGCACTCTGATCACATCACTCAGACCAGCTGCTTTCTACAAAGTCTCATCAACAACATCTTTACAAACAAACATCAACAACCAGGAAGCAGCTTCACCTCTGATCAGACACACACTCAACTCTACTCACTCACCTGGAGGATCAACACTCAGGTAGAGGATGTTGCTGGGGTCACCATCCAGATTAGCTCTCTTTCTGCGGTTTGCTCCTCTCATGAAGACACGACACTCGTATGTTCCAGTGTCATTAATAGTAACATTCTTCAGAATCAAAGACACGTCTCCATCCTTCATCTGTCTGTCCTGCAAATCCACCCGGTTCTTAAAAGATAAAAGTTGGTCATCAGGATATAAGTGACCATCCCGGTACAAAAGGACATATTCTTCCTTCAGGTCAGCTTTCCTCCACTCCACAACTAGGATGTTGTTGTTTGGAGCTTGACATCTCAGAGTGACGTTCTCTCCAGGCTTAGCTGTGATGGGGTTTGGGTCTGAAAGAGCAGAGTGGATAAAAAGGGTCAAAGTATAACTGTTCACTTCTACAGCAGCCAATCATAGAAAATAAAGAACTGTGATGTGTTGCTGAATACCTCTTCCAGAAATACTGAAATGATCAGTGTTGTGGTCATTATTCAAAAAAAAGTAATATATTGTACATTACTTTTCTTATAAGTAATATGTGAACTTTATTTGAATATTCAGCAGATAAAATAATTTGTTATACTACTCATTAAATGACTTTTATATAAAATGATCTGAAAAGTAATGTTTCATAATTATGAGTTAACAATATAAACCTTAGGCTACAGTCTCCACACACAAATCCCATTCCTAAAGGGAAAAAAAGCATGTGTGTTTTTTTTCTTTCTTTCTATCTGCTCTTCGTGTAATTGATAACTGCAGACGAGCCTGTGTAATGCAAGCAATGATACAACTGTAACTGCAACTTAATTCCTGAATTTAGGAACGAAACAGATTACATTATTGCATCCTGAAAAATGTAACTGGATTAAAGTTAGGTGTTACTTTGGAACACACACGATTGACATAATGCAGTCTTAGTTCCTGTTCACTAATCTAAACCTATAGCCCTACTTGAAAAATCTTTGCTGCTCGAAGTCATTGCTGCATGTGTTTTAGCTAGATATTGTATGTAGGGATATTTAAAAAGCTCAATTAAAATATCTAATTAAATACATAAAGTTCAGTTAAATGACTTATGTATTAACATGCATACAGAGAATGCTTTTCATGAGAAATCTCATTTTTAAGTAAGTCTCTGAATAAATTATTCTCACAGACACAAAACCATCACCATTATGTGTTCCACATCATGTTGTGCTGACTCTTGGTTAACCTTTAAGCCTTGGAACCTTGGTGAAGTGAAATTTTACGTTTGTTTTCAATTTGTGAATATTTGTGAATATATCATATTTAACAGTTTTTACACAATGTATTCATAAAATATTCAGACCGCAACACTTTATGCAAACATCGTGTTGGAGATTATAAAAAATAATTAATCTCCCTTTTCCATTTAGACTTTATAAACCACAATGATAAAGCAAAAACACACATTTCAAGCTGCAAAAAAAAAAAAAAATGTAACACAATAACATGCAGTTAAAGATAAAAGACTATTTGCAACTTTTAGGATTCCTGATGTAGTGAACATATTGCGATTACACAACCAGCTCACCTTTAGAGGCCGCTGAAAGTAGAATCAAGATAGACAACCAAATACACCAAAGTGACAACGATATTAAAGCAGCCATTTGCGCTCCGACTTGAGTTTTGTTGATTTCACACGAGGCAGAAGCGAAATATGCTGCTGCTGACACAGCTTCAGCCAAGCAAACAGACTTTTTCGCCCGGCCAATAGTATGGGTGTTTCCGCCTTCAACTCATTTAAAAGCTAACACCACACGGTACAACCCACAAGCAGTGACGCCTCTTCCTGTTTAAACAGTCTGACTGCTGAAAAAAAAACAAAAAACTTAACAGGGCGTGTGTTGATGTTGTTTTTCATGAGTTGCAGTCAGATCGTCCCTAATAAAGTGTACGATACAGATAAACGTAACCCAATCTACAACATAAATAGTCATGAAAATGAAAAAAGCATTCAATGCGAGGGTATGTCCCAACTTTGACCGGTAGAGTACATGCTGTCTTTTATTGTCAGTGAAGACAGAATAAATGTAAGCCTTTTCTCCTGCTTTTACTTTTGTCCATGAACAAGAATTTGAAATTTGGCAGCAAAAGATGAAATGTGGCAAATTAAAAGAATAAAAAGAGACATAACTATGGCAGGCGCCTCTGGATTCCTACAAGCAGAAAGTGGCTGCCCTGTGTGGCACGTGCAGGTCTTCTACATCATCTGCGATTTCTTGTCAAAAAGATCATCTTTATGTGACAATCAGGTTTCAAACACAGAAAAACAGAAAGTAAGAATGTGGTAGAGCAATTGATCATGGCCACAGAACAAGTAGACTATTGCAAGGCGAACATCGCCCTCTGCTGGTCGTATCAAAC